GTAGAGATCAAAATAAGAGTTGAGAGACACAGATAAATGCTCCAACATCTCACTTTCCACATAGTTTTTTCATAATCCTCCATGCCAACTCAATGTCTTTCCTTTTCCTCCTGGGGATCTCACTATCTAGCACCTTTTTGAGGGCTGGAGACTGACAGACCAAGTCTTCCCTGTCACCACAGCTCTGTGACACACAGAACCCATGTTACGCTTCAGCGCTAGAGATTATCTAATCCTGTGAGCTGCTAGCGCTGCACTAGACCTTGGCAGAGCACACTCGTGGCAGTGAAGAAGACAAGTTGTATTCCTAACACCGGTTCGATAGCAGCTGAACTGCCCATTTCTGCTCTTCCTGTTTCTGCTACAGCTTTTTACTTTCAGTCAACAGCACACGGTCTTATCAAACCTGATGTCACACGCCTGTTCAGCAGCACATCTGGGCAGAGCTTAACACCAAAAAACCCATTTCCACCAGAAGAAAAGTAAAAGAGGAAGAGTGAGGCCCAAAAAGACACCCTGATGAGATTGCTCTTAACAGAGAATCTCCAGCTGAAGAGTAGATACTCTTTTGCTTTTTTCACCTTCATTGCCACAGCTCCCCTCGTGCTAACATTTAAGTTTGGGAATGCTTAGTTCAAACCCATTAATTAGAACAGGTATCGTAACTAACACAATAAGGAATGAGTCAAAAAACCAGGACAGGCAAAAAAGGAAACCCCTGTTCTGCTCATCCACCAAATGTTCCCAGCTCCTCACCTCATTTTCCAATTCAACAGTCACTAGCTGTGCTTGAACTTTCTCATAGCGTTCCAGTTTCCTTTGGAGGCTGTCCACCTCCTCTTTAAGCAGTCCGTTGTTTTCTTTCATTTCCCTACGGTGAAGAGAGACAACAATTAAAAAGCCATGCAACTCGATTCACTCTTGCAAACTTCCAAAATTAGGAGGGAATCGTATGACATTGAACAGACGTGACAACATTTGACTGACTCATTTCTGTCATCTTCACTGCAAAGCCACTACTACAAAAAAACCACCTCAAAGCTTTATTGAACAGTTTTTTGTACTCTAACTGCCACCCTAATTAAACTCGCCTGGACGCGTTCCTGTGTGACCCACTGTAGGTGATCCTGCTCTGGCAGCGGGGCTGGACTAGATGATCTTTTGAGGTCCCTTCCAGCCCCTGACATTCTGTGATTCTGTAATTATGTCTGAACAAACTGAAGTTTCATATTTGGTTTACTGATTGGCAAAAGAGCGTGAGGGTCGCAGAAGACTCCCGATTCATCTTCGGTCAGGCTGAACGCAGGGTTGAAACACAGGAAGCAGTGAACACTCGGGTTTTTGGAGTCTGCTGATGACTAAGCAAGCATTGAGATTGCTTGGTTTTATTTTAATAGAGGCGTGCAAGGGTGAAATAAAACTGGTTTTAAAAATATGACCTTTAATCTGTTGCTACCGTGTTTCTATGCGCAAAAACCTAAGCATGAGAGATTCCAAGATAAACAGTTTAAAATGATAATAAAATAATAACAAAAATAAATTCAAGGGAAATTACTTAGTTTTAGAATAGGAAAAAGCAAGCAAGATCACTCATGTAATTTAGGTTGTTTTTTTTTTACTTTTTAGGAACTACTAAAAAATGAAAAGTTTACCCTAAAAAAAACACCCAACTCTAAGGCAATTTACTTCATAGTATATAGAAATTTAATTTTTTAATTAATTGCCACTTCAGAAACCAAGGAAGTCTACTCTGCTGAGGGCTATATCAGAGTCTTTTAAAAATTTAATCAAAAGATTTTCCAGACATTATGCTAGAACAACAGGCCTTTAAAATAGTGATAACAATAACCAAGCAAAACCAGTTACTAAAGAAATGCTCAGCTGTCTCTTCTCTCTACAGGGATTTCTTTCTCAAAGCTATATAGAGTTCATCACTATCTTTAAACACTGAATTTTGTTCTAAGAAACAGAGAGCACCATCCAAAACGATCAATACGTATTTTGAGAGGCTCTCACTGTGTTCAGGAAAATTACCCAGATCTTGTCAAACCCTCTCAGCACAACACCGCTCGATTCATATGCAGTATTTATATGCAACATTTGAACTTCCTTCTAAAGTTTCCCATATGGAAGCCTAATAGAGGGATTTAAGAGTGCATGTAGTGCAATTGTAGCAGGTACAGAAGAGCACAAGATAACTCCCTCAAAAACTGAACCTTTCTTTCACCTGAAGTAGGCATTTTCCTCCCTGAGCTGGCGCAACTCTCGCTCCATTTTTGGGAAACGGGCCAGTTCTGCCTTCATGTTCTTGACAACTAGAGCATCATGTTCCTGCTGGGACAACTTCTGCTCCAGATCCTGGAAAACATGGGATGACATGAGGACAGCAAGGATTAACTTGGAACTTGTAAGAGCAACTTCTCCATTGCACTTTCTAAACTCAAATCAATGACTTGAATCAAGTTGGAAGGGAACTCTGGTCCAACCCGTTGCTCTTGGGGACTCGTTCCACTTGTAACACCTAGGCTGGTTCTTTCCTATGCCTGTTTACCCTAAGTTCATGACAGAAAAAGATCTCTGCTAATCATTAAAACGATCTTCTTCTATTGTCTAAACCAAATCTGTGATTTTTGTGTCCTCTGTCTTTCCATCAATGAAGTGTAGAGAGGGGTACTTCAATGTCCTGCAAGAACTAAGAATGAAAAGACCCACAACCATGCATTTTAGCATTATGGTAAGCCTTGGGGGAATTTTTCCTCTCAAAAAACGTAAAAAAAAAAAGTTTATTTAGAGCTGTACTGCAGTCTCATATCCTGTTTCCCCACCTTTCCTTTCAATGAAAGGTCTCTTCTTGCAATCGCAGAACTCGCAATGAGGCTGGCTTTCAGCGTAGCTTACGCTACAGTAACCAAAGGCAACACCAGCATCAGCACCTGCTCAAACCACAGTAACTCTCCCCGCCCTGACCTCTCTCAGGAAGATGAGACAACTGAAAGAGATACACTCCCACCAACCTACATGTTAATTTGCAAGGACATAAAGCATCTCTCTACTCACATTTAAGTCAGTGCGGTGTTGAAAGTTTTGCAAGTAATTGCACTTTCTAAAAAGAGCTAAACCCAACTCCAAAGGAAGGTTTTCCTGGGAAGCAGAAAAATGACTGTAGCTGCTAGGCTGATCCTCTGCCATTTAAAGCAAAGATTGCTCTAGAGGCAACCTTTTGCAGAGAAATCTTGTGCTCTGGCACAAGATCAAGTAGAACATCTGCCCAGAGCACTGCAAAAGGATATAAATCACCTTTACAGAGAAACCATGGGTGGATCTTTTTTCCAATAAATTGATACAGCAAAGGGACAAGTGTCACAAGTGTTATAGCTAACTGCAGTAGCCTGGTCCATCCAACTGAATTCAGCCAACTTCAGCTCTTGCCGGCCACCAGATCAGATTCTTGTATGACAAACTAGCCTTTTACTTCTGCAACAGTTATTTTTTTTAAAAAACACTATGCTGTTCTTCCATGAAAGAAGTTAAAAATTAAAGCTTTATATAAGTCACAAAGTTTCTTACCTTGATCTTCTGTTCATACTCCGTCAGCAGGGATTGGCTCGCTTGCAACGTCTGGATTTGCTGACTAGCCTCTTGCCACTTTCTATTAGACGTAGACACAAGAGGCATTTAGCACCCAGGAATCACAGAACAGAGACAACCTACAAGCAGAACTCTCTGACTGTAGTGGTGTTTGGTACTGTTACAGAAGATTGTCTCACACAGTTTCACACTCCCTCTAACTCGGAGACAAAAATACTCATTTTAACTAAAAGATGCATCTTGAGAAATACCCAAAATCAAGCCACCTTAATTCAAGCAAATACACACTCACAGCACCTCTGAGATTGAAGAGTTGAACCTAGGAAGCAAGGAAACACGCGCTCCTTTTTTCAACTACCCCTCAACTATGTTTTAAGGCTTGATATTTTTGTTCTGTTCAGTCTATGAAGTTCAGATTAGCCTTTCCCACCCACATGCCTTCTGTTAAGTCTCTACCATGAACATTAGACATTTCTGAGATTTTAAGCTCAAGTTGGTTTGTTTTTTTTCTAGGTACAATTAAATTGCACCTCAGAGCTAGTTTCTAACAACGGTTATAACCTGCACATCCAGATCAAAGAACCCCTTTGAAGAGCAGAAATCAAACGCTGTTGAAAGTTTTCTGAGTGAAGATAGCTGCAGAAGACTGAAGTTTTGTTTGCCTTTTTCTCCCTAGAGTCATTTATCCCCTGCTTACTTATGTTGAACATCCAGCTGTTCCATCAGTTCCTGCTTCTGAGAGTCTTGGCTTTTCATCTGCATCTCTTGATTCATTATACTCCACTGCAGTTCGGATATTTTCCCTTTTAATATAGTGATTGTCTGAATTAAAGGAAATAAAGAATAAACACACAAGGCTACGACTCTCCAAGGTGGACATTATGGATGGTGACAGACAGAAATCATATCCGACTAAAAAGTACAAACACTGAATCTAGAAACTATCCCACACTTCTGCAAACCTTCAGACCTGCAAACTCACCTCAAAAACAAAGGCAAGAGAAAGTCATTTAGTTGCTTTCATCTGTCACCCAAATTGTCATTTCCATTACCTATTAAGTGGGTGACCTCAAACTGGGATCAAAAATATCAAGCTTCAAAGTTAGATGATAATAAAACACAAGTGTATATACAAAAATTATCCCACAACCATTCCAAATATGTTTTGTCTGGGTTTCAAAACTGAAGATGTCTGGGTTTGCCTCAGCCAAATACCAGAAGTGTTATGCTTTCCTTAAAAGTAGATGTCAGTGGGTTTTAAAATTTTGTTCTAAACATTTTGACTCCAAAGAAAAACCCACAGGCTTGTTTCAAATAGTCCCCCTTAACAGAGAAAAAGAGGAAGATCTCACAACATTACACATGCAGGTGTCTTCTAGACAGAGACACATGCAGGGGTCTCATCTTGATACAAATGGATGTGGAAATAAAAATAACACAGAAACAGAACTGCTGTACACTTTTCATACGCAAGTTTTGTTTCTCTCACACGCCATCACTGTCTCCCTGGTTTTGATCACCGATAACCAGCACATTAAATCTGTTTAACTACTTTATCACACAGATGCATTTCCAGTGACACCTAGGCAGCAGGACAGCTTAAGGGCTATAAGGATACATAAAGAGGCTGAGTATTGAGAAGATGGTCTGTACCTCTGGAAGAACTGAAATTATTACCCAAGCATTCAGCCTACAGTGGAACACAGGCCCTTCAGACACTTTGGGAAAACGTACTTTCTATGTAACTGGTCTCATCCACTCTCCAGCTCTCTCTACTTCTCTGAACACCTCCCCATCCTACCTCCACCATCACTTCCCCTTTCTTTACTCAAAGTCTAGATGCTGTATGTTGCCTTGCACTTTTTTCCTCTCCTTCTCCATATCAACCTGCCTAAGAAGTCTCTTCTCACTGTTTATTAACACAGCAATATCATCTGACCAGCTCACTTGCATCTGGACTTGGTTAGGTTCTAAATCGTGACAGCAGAAATGCACAACACCAGGGTTTATTCATTTCCAGATGATGAACACAGTGATTCCAATATTTTTTTTAATCAGAAAGGGCATTTTCAACTCACGAGAGCTGCCAAGTCACCTGAAGCTATGAACAGATTAAAAATTTACTCAGTTCTTACCTCATTAGCTTCAGCTAATTTGCTCTCCTTCTCTTGCAGCTTCTTACTCATTGTCTCCATGCTCTTCTTATAGGATTTGTTCATTTCCATTTGTTCTTTCAGTTTATTTTCAGCTTCTGTTTCCCTTTCTTGATACTGCTTTATGCGTGTGAGCAGCTCCTGGTTACGGTCTGCCTCTCGCTTACAAAGAAGAAAAAAAAAATGCAAAAAGAGACATAAGAAGAAAGCAGCACAAAGGTGAAACGATTTTTGTTTCTCCTGTCTCCATTCCTGTGGTCACAAAGGCATCATCATGAAGCAACATTACTCAGACCACAGCTTTAAGCTTTGCACTAGCAAGGGCAAAAACCATACCAGCAGCATCTCAACGTCAAGGAACTACTCGGGGCAATGAAGCTAGGAAATTAAGGGGACAGAATCTTCCAAATCTCTTAGATTGAGACATGAATAAAAGAATACAAATTTCACAGCCTCCACCACACACTCTCCAGTCGATCAGAGATGAGAACATTTGACACCACAATTTAAAGCTGACCCATGTCAGCAAAGTAACTTTCAGAAACTCAGAGCTCAACAGTTGGGTTAATAAAATAAACTTCCCTCTGCAACTTCTGGAAGGCTATTTAATAGAATAGAAACAAGGTTTAAATGCACAGTATTATCAATGAATATAATAAATACTTTTGCACTCTGACAACCTTTCATACACCAGATCAGTTTCTTCCTACCGCAAGTTGCTTAACACTTATTGAAAAAGTGTGTAGTAAATTGCTTTGCTAATCAAAGCAAATCGAGACACGGATTTACATAGTAAGCAAGGATTATGCAAAGCAACGTGAGGTTCCTAAAACCTTTATCCACATGACTCAAAAAAGCACAGAATCTGAGCAGGGTAATTACCACAGCACTGGATTAGTGCTGCTCACTCCCTTTTTTGTACCAGTGTTTCAGGGGTTTATGTGACTGACTCAGCTACATTGCAGTTTGAACTCTTCGTGGCTTAATCCCACATCACCTGACTTCAGAGGAACAAGGAATTTAGTCACTGACTCTTTATTTCACAGCTACACGCTAAATCTGTCATCCAGCACCCTCGTAAAATACAACAAAACACGCTTACTCCTTTTTAAAGATTTCTGTTTAAATAATCAGCCGCATATGAGACCTATTTTATGCTACAAAACGCACAGATCTACGACTTACTTCAGTACCATAGTTAAGCAAACATATGTGGGCACAAAACCAGAAACCAATAAAAGCTCTTAGTCCCTGCGTGAGGCTCACTGTTTTATCGGTGCAAGCTCTCTTATGTGACAGTGCACAGTTGGCACTGCCGCCACTCCAATTAATTACAGTCACACACACTAAATGCTTTCAATTGTGCCAGCAGAAGTTTAAATTCATCTGGGAGAGAAACACTTAAATGCTTCTGGGAGAAACAAATAAGAAATCCCTTTTGCCATTGCTACCTATGACATGTTCAGCGCTAAACTAACAGAATCTAGTGATCAGATCATCAGTTTGTCAACCAAACGAGGCTTTGACGTTCACATTCTTGTGTACATTAGCAAGTTAGAGCAACGCACTACAAGGGTATCTGTGGAGCAAAACAGTGTTAGGATCTTGACACCCACATGCCACCACGTTTGCAGTAAATGCAAACGCAGTAATTGCGCTCTAGGAGCTTTTACTATAAATTCGCTGAAGTCTTGCTCTGAAGACAGCATCCATTAGCAGTTAGAGAACACTAGGCTAGGCTTGCTCCTGGACTGCATCTTTCAGTTTAGTTTCATCCAAAAAAGCTGACTACACACATTCTGAGACGCACCGCTGCAAACCAAAGCCAAGAGCACATCCCTGATCCAAACTAAAACACCAGCACAGATGCATGACGTGTGTTCTGCCTCAGGCCTATGATAACAAGCCACCTGCAAGCATCATAGTTACCTCATAGTTCCTGGCATTGGTATTAGCTGCCTTCTCCAGTTCGATGCGCGCTCGTTTGTGGCTAAGCTCCATCTGCATCTTCTCTCGTTCCACCTGCAGGAGCTGGGATTTGGAGTGGATCTGCCCGGCTTGTTCTTCCAACTGGTCGGTTCACGTGCGAAAAGGGACATTACACACCATTAGCAGCACTGCAATAATAGCATAATCTCCCATCCTGCACTGTTCAGCTGACACTCAGGTGCCAGTCTACAAATCACAAGGAAACTATCACCACATTTGCAGTGTTTGTCTTCTCACAGCAGCTGCAGATGGGAGAACCAAGGGTTCAGCAACACGCTCCGAAACCCATGTTAAATTATCGTCAGTCAGAAAGAAGTGAATTTCAAGTTCTTTATTCACAATGTCTCACTCAATCTCTAGTGGTATCCTGACAAAATGTACTTCTCTCTCTAAAAAAAACCAAAGGTTAATTATGAAAACCCCCCCCAAGGCTCCCAGAAGTAACAGCAGCTAACCAAGAAGCAGAGATCACGCTCCCCATGAAATTTAACTGCTGAGAAAAAATGTTTTTCTACTACCTGATAGGCTTCCTTTTTTTCATTCAAATTACTTTACAGCACTAGAATATGAATACCTCATCTAAGCAATGTACATTCAACACATAGCTAATGAAGACTCTCTAATCAGAGCAAGCCACCTCTGACCATCTCTGCAATCAGAAACGTACCACAGACAGAAAACGCATACATTTGTCAACATTTCAAATGCAAAGCTTATTTTATACTTTGAGACCGAAACAGAAATTATATCAAGATACAGAAATTCTATTCCAGCCTAATCAACAGTCCTTATGATCCAAGATGTCAGCTTACTCCACGCTTTCTAAGAATGAGGCAGCTTACAGGAAGAAGTCCAAAAGCACACACGTGGATCCAAACAGAAGCAGACAAGAAAATACAATTGGTTAGCACATGAAAGCCATAGCACAATGCAAGCCTCCTGTATGTGTCCAGGCAACAAACTTTAAAAAAGATTGTGAAAAAAGTTAACAAATTACTTACTAGAAAAATATTAAAGGGTATAAAGCTCCTTGGTTCAGCAACGTGAAAACAACTTTCATTTTAATATCCTGCGCTGGTATACAGACATAACAAGGAGGGAAGAAATGCAAAGGACCTTTCTTAGATTTTTACAAAAGAGAAATAAATATGCCTGACACTTCAAAAAAATTAAAGATTCCTGAATGTTCACCAAAAGCAAACTTCCATTGTTTGGTTTGCATGATTACCAATTTTAGAGAGAATGGTCAGATTTTAAAGAAATCGGTCCCAATTCCTGGAATCAAAAGGAACCTAAAACCATGCTGAAGTGACATGGCAGGCATCACCGAGCTGAGGTCGCCTCACCTGCATCCTCTGCTGGTACTGAATCTGCAAGGAGCTTTGAGATGATCCTGGTGTAGCCAGCCCAGACACCCCCTCCATACGTTGTGAAATGAAATTGTTGAGGGATCTCAGGGTGGAGAAGACAGTGGTATTATCCTCCAAGTCCTCCATGGCTCTGGAAATACACAGAAAGTAATCAGCAAATCATTCAGTTCAGCCTATGGTATACTGGCTACTTCACTAAAAGATACATCACTACCCTTAAGAAACACTAAATTCCAAGTCTTCCAACTTACGGGGTACAAGACCCCATCTGCCAGGCACTGCTGCAATCAACTTGAACCAGAAAACACTGCCAAGCCAAGGCTGACCTTGTAGGTCTCTGAAATTGGTAACTGGTGTAAGAGAGCTCGTTCTTCCCTGAGTTTTCCACCTGAAACGGTTTGCTTTAATTTAAACACATTCTCCCCTGAATCTCAGCCCATAAGCATACAAATAAGAGCTGTCATAAGTCATACAAAAAGTAAATTCTCCTTTCCTAAATAATCCAAACAGATTCATGGATAAAAGTTATTGTCATAGGGCAAGAAGATCTAGAGCACGTAATACTAATGAACAGAACTTGTTACTCTTCCTCCAAACACCTGAGCCTGCTGGCCAGGGGGGAACTCATTCTGTATTAGCAGCAAACCCTATGTTCTACAGAATTTCATTCTCATTTCCAAAAAGCACTTTGAAACCTAACGTCTGGCACTGAGACTTCCCAACTTCAGACATCCCTTCTGTTTCCGTGTTCATGTAGAAGTTTTTGCAATTCTTCCCTCAAATTTGGAACCGTACTAACTAAAAGGCCAAATCCAGATCGAACCTGGAGCTCTGGAAACCCTGCAAGGTTTCCCAGGAGACTTCAGGAAGCCTTACGTGAGCCCTCTGGCGACTGCGTGCCCCTAGAAGCCCCCAGAAGCTCCAGAACCAGGAAAGGCGACCCATAACAGCCCCATCAGCTTCCAGCAGGGACACAGACTTGGGGCCACTTTTCAGGATCGCTTACTCTTAAAGTTAACATCACAGACAGGAAGCACAGCAGAAGCACGGAGGCAGCACATCAGCCCCGACCCGAACGAGAGCATTTTCTCAAAATAAACAGGTCCGTACCGCGCGCAAACAGATTCAAGAGAGGCCACTGCTAACTACGCTCCAGCAAGCCTGTTCTGAAACCGAGAACAGCACTCACAAAATTCAGGAGATGCCCACATCCCCGCTGCAGAAACCCCTTCGGCAGAGGCTCCCTCGCAGGGACACTCCCGCCCTCACAACCCACCGCCGGCC